TAGTGATATAATTGAGGAGATACATAATCTGGTGTTAACCACCTATCTAGGAGGACAATAACAAGCAGAGTAAAAAACAGAGTTATTTGGCTCTTTCCTTGCAAGACAGTGAGATGGAACATTGCAACATCGCTTCGTAAAATAGGAATTGGTGATCTTGGAATTTGGAAGCCCACAGTCGAATACCAGTGCATAAGTTTTGAATACAGTAATCCTCATATTTTTATGAAATCTATCATGCTAAAACCCTAGCTACATCGACTAATAGGCTTGATTACACTCTTGGGCTTAAGCTCTCTAATAATCCTTTGATTCACCTTTCAAAAAACATAGCAAGGGATAACGCATGTGTTCTGAATTGCCACTATTCTTTCTTTTTTTCTTATCTAACGTAATAACCGTATTGCACATTTCATAAAGATTTAAAATTTAAATTATACTCACAATCTACCAAATCCTATAATTTTTGTTAGTAATGTTTTTTTCCACTTTTTTTTTGCTAAACAATGTTTTTTTTTTTCCACTTTTCTCGAGAGTATTTTACGTAACAGATTTTGCTGGATGAGAAGTATTTATTTAGTAGGGTTTAATTAACTAATTTCTTGGTGAAGAAGTCTGAGAATATCGATGGCGACTCCATGTAAGCATTGGATTGTTCACCGTCAAATTTGTTGTCGATGCAAATCCCGAGTGAAAACATACGACGCAAATACGAGAGTCGCAAGAAAGCCCTATCTATTCTCTGTTTGTCCTCATCGGATGTATCAAAACGGTCTATGTTGCCGATGCGGATATTTCCTAGATATTTGGGATTGTGCTCGAGCTTTCAACTACATGGCCAAGTCTTTACGGATGAGCCACGAATTCGAGGCGGCCACTAAGCGACAGAAGTTGAGGATCGCGTTGGGAAAGAGGACACTTCACTTGGTTCTTAGCTTAGAACACACGCTCATCGACTGCATCAGCGTCTCGAAACTCTCCGAGATCGGCAAGTATCATATGGTCAAAGAGGTTGATTCAGGAACAAGAGATGATCTTTTTCGTTTACCTAAGGAGAATTTCTATTCAAGCGATGCGTTGGTGAAGTTTCGGCCTTTTGTCCGTGAGTTTCTGCGGGAAGCTGAGGAGATTTTCACCATGCATGTGTTCACTAACAATGGCCCTGATCGCGCGAAGAATGTGGTAAAGTTGCTCGATCCGCATATGATATATTTTAGGAATCGTATCATACAAGTAGAGATAGCAAATATGATTTGAAGTCATTAGAACTTGTTTTGGCGGAACCACGTGGGGTGCTTATCGTCGACTATGACCATAGATTGTGGGTGAAGCGAGACCACCATAACCTGATTAAGATGTCCAAGTATGAGTACTTCAAAGAAAGTAGCAACGAGGATGGGATCCTTACCTTTCTCAAGAAAATATTATTTAGAGGAGATAGTAAAGTTGTGGACTTGGAAGGAAAGAGAGAGGAAATTCCTGATGATGATCGTAAAATGTTGTTGAAAGTCGTCTTGAGACATCTTAAGGTACTTCATAATTTATTCTTTAATGGAGGATATCAAGGCGTGAGTCCTCTCTTGCCCCGCGTCTTCTACACCAAGAAATTTACGTAGTTTTTTTTGAATTTATATTCTTTTGGCTTTTCTTGATATAATTTTCGTGTTCTTTCTTTTGAACTTCACGGCCTTGATCTGATTTAGTTCTAAGAGTCTTTGGTTATGTCAAAGTATATGGCACTAACCGCATATTGGATCATTAATTTTCATTGATTTCCCCTCTAGTTTGAGGAGATGTCGTCTTCGATCTAGTTTGTTGGTTTTGAATCTAAGCCATAGGATTTGTAAACATATGCTTTTATATTTCTAAAAACGAAAAAGATGCATGTAAATAAGTACGAAAGAAATGAAAAATTATGATGTCAAAAAAAAGAAATTTAAAATTAAAATGATACAGAATATTGTTGCTAAAGATCTTAATTTTATAAGATTTTAATTTCAATGTTATCAGCCAAACAGGATTTTCGCTCTGTTTTGTACTGTTAGGAACAGATTATCTGATATTTTTTGAAACAGATAATTGTTCGAGATCTTCACGAATCTCGAATGTTGTTATGATCGTCTACTTTTTTTGGATATATATTAAGTTGTTGTTAACTCTAAATAATAGTAGGGTATTGTTCAGAAAAACAATCTAAATAATAGTCCGCTTGTCATCGTTAACATTGTAGTATGGTAGACATGTAGTTATATATTTTTTACTCAAAACATACATATATTAACTTGAAAAAAAAAAAAAAAGAGAACAACTTATCCGACTCGGGTGACGGCTTTTATATATTTGCCAATCGTTAAACTTAGCATTCCTTTCAGTAAAGGGTTTAACAATGCCTTGTGTTCATGATATTGTTCGAAATGGATTTTGTAGCCAATGCAGATCAGTTGTGGCCACTCGAAGCAATGCTCTTATACCTTTCAGTTACCTAGTCAACGGTTTAGAGTTGCGTCCCGAATTTGTGGGGGCTATGAAACGCCAAGTTTGGATCAAGTCTCTAGAGGATAAGAGACTGAATTTAGTCCTTGGTCTACGCGGCACGCTCTACGACGCCCGACGAGTTTCACTGCTCTCGGACGGGGAGAAGTATCTAACCGGAGAAGTTGACTCAAGGTCCGATCTGTGGCGATCAAATAAAGTCTTTCAAGATCACAGCGAGGCTTTGTTTAAGCTACGACCGTTCGTTCACGAATTCTTGCGTGAAGCGAACAAGCTTTTCAAGATGCATGTGTTCGAGCTTTGTAACCCTAAACACGCCCAAGAAGTGATATCGTTGCTTGATCCTCACGGAACTTACTTTGAGAAACGCATCATCACAAACAGAGATAGCGAGATGAAGAATCTAGATCTTGTTTTGGCTGACGAGCGTGGGCTTGTCATCCTAGACGATAAGAACGGTTATTGGTGGCCCGATGATGTAACAAACCTGCTCGAAATCGTGCCTTACCACTTTTTCAAGCGTGAGGAAAACGATACTTGGATCATGAAACTTGTGGACGTTTTCAGGAAAAAGTTGTTGAATATAGACATTGACGAAAGTGATGCACAAGAGAGAGGAGACGAGAGCGCTGAGGATGGTGGGTTGGCGAATGCTCTTGCATTACTTAAAGAGGTGCATTCTAAATTCTTCGATGGAGACGATAAAGATTCAAGAGATGTCAGGGCATTGCTTTTCCCTTAAATTTATAACTCATGGTTTTTATTGTCAATTTTATTCTTAATGATCCGTATGGACTTAGTTTTGTTTTTTGCTTTTTAATTTGCCACAAGATACAAAATAATAGAATTAAGATATCGTATCTGATATTGTATTCATATATCTCGTACCTACACAATATCAACATCCAAAAACACCAAATCTATGTGTAATGTATATATACACTTGGTCTAAAACCCCTAAAGTTTAGTGAGCCAATATGGAATATCATTGGCAGGCTGTGTCAAACGAAATTTGAAGAAACTGAAGATGAAGTCTCTCACTGTTTTCGACGTGAAGTAGGTAAACATTATGACTCCGATCACACCAATGAAGGCTCCTACTACGCATGTGAAGAGATTGGGTGCAATTGATATTGTGGTAGCACCAAAAACTACCAACACGCATACCATCGCAACCGATATTGCAAAGAATCCGCAGTGGAATATACGTCCTTGCATCTCGAATGATGTAGGTGTCACAACCCCAAGTACCAGTAGAGCCGCCAAAGAGAAAACTGCCGCAATCCAAAACGTAATCTGAAAAAGAACTTTGACGGCTACTAGGATAATGATACTATGATTAGGATATTGATGTAAATTATATTAGGCCTTATCTCTTTAGTTAGTTACTTCTCCTTCACGTTATCAATTCTTGTATAAATACTTTGTGATAGTAAACATAATGGACATACACTTTTACCGATCTTACATG